TTTTTTTTTTTTTTTTTTTCTTTTGTTACTCGAATTTATATCTAGAGAACTGCTAGTCAATCCTAGCCGTAGTATAGTAAACGTTACTATGTTGCTACGCCTGTTTCACGCCCACTATACATCATGCGTTGTGCTCAGGCCTACCTGTCGACGTATATACCTCGTTTCAAAGATGTGTTGCGCGTATTCTTAATAAATTTCCGTAAATCGTAAAAACTCGTTGCGAGATATTTGTCTTTCCTGTAAAAAAAAAAAAAAAAATTCTCCTCTCGCGAATATCTTTATCTACGACGACTAACGAAATTACGAATGTTTTTTCTTGCAGAATCGTTGCGCCGTTAGAGATTCTTTCCGTTTCCTTGATAATTCATCGATGATTTGGAAGAAATACGAATACGAATTTGAAAAAACCAAGCCAAAATAGAATCGATTTGACGTTGATTTGGCCAATTTGGATCTGGTAGAGTTTCAGAAATGAATAATATATTGGAAAGGTTGTGAAACCATCTGTAGAGATAGAGGAGGTAGAGTAGGCCATTCGGTCGAGTTGAAACGCGTAGAGCAGACAGTCGTGGGGCAAGAAACACAGTGCCGCCACTTTGCTGACACACCTCCACACAAATCTAATTAATTTATATCCTGAGAGAGGCGCCACTAGGGATACTATGTCCGACAGGAAAAAAGAAACGAGTGAACGAAAGGGTATTCCGCTCCTCTTCCTTTTACGACGAATCAAACAACTTGGCTTTCTTCTCGAGGCTTTCTTCTTCTAACGTGTATCGACTTTGCTTTTTCTTTTCTTTTTTTCTTTTTTTTTTCTTTTCGATTCCTCGATTTTATTGCGCGTAAACGTGCGATAAGCACGCGATTCGAAATTTTAAATCGTTTCAATAATAAATAATAAAGTTTTTCCCCTCTTCCTCTCCTCACCTTTTTTTTTTTTTTAACAAGAGAATTGCACCGTGTCCGAGTCGTACAAATGGAATGTTATTTCAACTTTTTTATTCCAGCAAATTAGATTTTTGCCCGACACTCGCAATTCATCCTTTTGAAAAAAAAGTCATTTGGCTTGAAATTGTAATAATCGATAAAATTTTGATCGGTATCCACGTTTGTTTACGTATAACAGGAATTTTCTTAACACGTTGAACGCCACTCACTCGTGACCAATCTCGTTATTAATTAAATTCTTTCGTAGATCGATCGAAATAGAATTATTATCATCG